TAATGATGATAGGGAGGATAAACTCACGTTTCGTTTATTCAATAAAACACATTCCATAACAAAACGTGAGTTTGCGGAGCACTTTGGCTTGCCCGTGCCACCACAAAACGCCCAAGAGCCTGACACCGGGTATGGCTTTGAATTGTGGAAAAAAATGACGGGGGAAATGACCTTTAGCTCCAAAAATCTTGTCATAACCCATGTCCAACACCCAGTGCTACGCATTTTCTTGAAATACTTGGTTAGCTTTGTGTTTGGACACCCCAACAATCACCAAGCACGAACAGGTGATATATGTATTCTAGCTAATGCATTGTTTGACATACCTCCCTTCCACTATAACATTGTGAACCGTATGTGGGAACATCTGTACAAAGAATGCACTGCCCAAGGAAAAATTTGGATAGGGGGCGTTATTCTCCACATAGCTACAAAATTCGGTTATGTAGACAATGCACCAATAGCCGAATTCTGTCTTTTTGACATAACACATCTGGGCAATTCAAAGGACATCAAGTTCTCTCATCGTGATTACAAGGGGAAAATCTTTTACAAATGGTCCATCTTCCCGAAACCCACTCGTTACTTCACGATCCCCTCCGAGGGGCTACCCACTATTCCATTCCGAGTAGAACCACCTCTTGTGCGCCACTATTGCCTCCCTCCAGCCATCCCACCATATTTTCAAAACCAAGAAGATGAACCCACACAAAAACAAGCCCCTCCAATTCCTGAAGACGTTCCAGCACCACCTCACGACCCACCCCAGTACGATCCGTATCAAACACAAGTGCTTGAGAACCAACGTGCTCTATTGGAAGGACTCCGGGATTTGAGCTTCCGGGTCAAACGCATGGACGATGACAACCGACGGGCAATAGCCCCCATCTATGCTTACCATCATCAGCAGGGGCACTTCTCCTCTATGCGTCCCCCAGTGCAGCACCCGTCATGGTATGACCCCTCTCAGTGGGGTAATTTTGGGGAGGACAGCGGCTACAGTGGAGGAGACTATGGTGGCGGTCAGCCTGGCTTTGACGGAGATGAGCACTAGGGAAAGTGCTTCAAGCTAAGTGAGGGGGAATCACTCATTGGTACGTACTTAATTGTTTCAACCTTGTAACTTGCATCATTTTAAAAAAAAAAGAAAAAAGAAAAAAAAGGGAAATGCTAGTTAGGTTGAAAACCTAAAAAACGGGCAATCTAAGCAAAAAGGGCTTATAAAAAAATGTTAATGAGTGAGTTGGAAAGGAACAAAACAAAACGAGATGCTAGGATGAAAACCTGGAAAGGCTCCTAGGCAAATTGAGAGATATTAGAGGTTCATTTCTTTTTTTTGACAGGGCAATGGTGGTCTCAAGAAGCGGAATGAAGGAATTGAAAACAAGAGAAGAGCATAGAAGGCCATAAAACCCAAGAAAATATTAATCTTTGAGCTCAAAACTCAATTTAAATCTAATGTACAATCCTTGGTGGTCTTTTGTTCTTTCTTGTTAAATTGTTGAACTATTGAAGACATGAAAAACTTGTAAACATTTGGCTTTACTCGAGGACGAGTAAAGAAACTAAGTGTGGGGGAGTTTGATAGTGTAAATTTCCTATCATGTATGTTTGTATTTTTAACTAGTTTTTATTAGTTCTAGTTGTGGAAATTACACATTTTTGGTGTAATACTTTGTTTTCATAATTATTTGTAATTTGTTTAGATTAGGACTATTCTGAGCTAAACAGGTCAAAGCTCATCCAAGGGATCTAGATTGGACCTCAAAAGATCAAGGAAAGTGCAAGGAGACAAGAAAGATTTTGATTTGGAAAAATTACTCTTATACCCGGTCGGGTATAGGCAATACCCGATCGGGTATTTGGTTGATTCGGTTGTCCAAATCAAATCCGGGAACAAAGGATCGTGGGAGCAAATTTTCGTAAAGATTTGTCACATACCCAATCGGGTAAACCGACATACCCGACCGGGTATGACCAGAAATGTGGCTTTCCGGGAAATTTCCTAAGATACCTGATCGGGTATCCTATATACCCGGTCGGGTATCAGCCCCTGCAACTCCCAAAAGCCTATAAATACACCCCTTTCCTTCACAATAAAATCATCCCTTCTTCCATACTCTTAAGCTCGGTTTAGAATAGCATTTCTTTATATTTTTCTAGCTATGTTTAGTCTCCAAATGAGGAGCTAAACTTCCAATTCTTGGTGTTGCTCTTGAAGCTTGTTGATTATTAAAGTTGTGAGTTATTTTCTTAATTTCTTTCCTTGAATATTAATTAATGGTTCTTTCCTTAATACCATTTCTATATTAATGTTGGGGAGTGTTGCTAAGATGACAATTAGTTAACATCTCGACATTAGTTAGAATGGTATTTTCTTCCTCTATATTAATGTTGGGGAGTGTTGCTAAGATGACAATTAGTTAACATCTTGATATTAATTATAGTATGATTCATTTTCTTTAATAATATTCTTCCTTGAATATTAATTAATTCCTACTCATATTTCATATTAATATTTTGAACATTACTTAAAGGATCAACTAGTTTTGTTTCATATATTAATTATTACTAGAAACGATCAACGAACCGATGGTTAATCGTTGATGGTTTCACAAGTATGTAACTTCGGTTTATTAATGCACGGTTGTGGTTAATAAACTTAAGAGGGATTAATTTTGTTGGTTAAATCGAAACCGTTGTGTTGAGGTTATCAATCTCAATTGATTTCATCAAGGAGTTAGAAAGATTAAATGCTACTATTAAATCGGTATTAGGCGTTGTTCTATATTTGATTAATAGTAAGGGTTATTAATGAACGGTTGTTGTTAATAACTACCCTCGATGAAGTGGATATACTCCCCGATTGAGTATTCAAGAGGGAATAAGTTATAGATATAACAATGATCGACTAAAATATATCAACAAGTGGAAAGTAGCAATATCTTTTGGGACTAAGGCTTGGATGTTGTTGTTGTTGTTGTTGTATTCATCACCAAAACCCCCCTTTATTTACTAAGTTTCATAAAAAGATAATTATTCTTTTCCCTGTGGATACGAACTCTACTACGCTATACTACGTATAAGTGTTTAGTAATGAATTTATTTTGACGCACCGTGACAAAGTGCTCGTCAAATTTGCCAATACCCGATCGGGTATAAGAGTAATTTTTCCAAATCGAAATCTTTCTTGTCTCCTTGCACTTTCCTTGATCTTTTGAGGTCCAATCTTGATCCCTTGGATGAACTTTGACCTGTTTAGCTCAGAATAGTCCTAATCTAAACAAATTACAAATAATTATGAAAACAAAGTATTACACCAAAAATGTGTAATTTCCACAACTAGAACTAATAAAAACTAGTTAAAAATACAAACATACATGATAGGAAATTCACACTATCAGCCATGCTTATAGATGTTGCGATTCGTGAAATAAAGACTTTGATTATTATTATTATTTTGAGAATTTTCGAGAAATTGGATATATAAATGCTATAGAAGAAGCGAAGAAGATTGCTCTTGAACTTGATATTGAGCCAACATTTCCTCAAAGGAGAATAATTCGAAGAAGAAAACAATTTGATGAGAATCGAGATGACACATTAGAAGTTGTGAGTATGTCCACCGATGAATCATTTAGAGTTAATTACTTCTTATACATTGTTGATCAGGCTATTGTTTCATTGAAAAGGAGGTTTGAGCAATATCAGGAATTTGAAAAGGTTTTTGGTTTTATGTTTACTTCTAGAAGTTGAATTCACCGGATGATGCACATTTAATGTCATGTTGTACTTAACTTGAAGGTGCTCTTAAAAAAACATGCACAATGTGATGTTGATGGAAATGATTTATATATCGAGCTGAAATTCTTTCGGAAATTCTTGTGAGAAGAGAAGCTGGGGCCTGTTGATATTTTGAAGCTGTTGATGCGTAGTTTTAGTTGTTTCCCTAATGCAATTATTGATTATAGAATAATGTTGACTATTCATGTGACTGTGGCTAGTACAGAAAAAAGTTTTTCGAATCTCAAGTTATTAAAGACTCACTTGCGATCAACAATGTCACAACAAAGACTCAATGGCTTGGTAATGATATCAATCGAGGATGAAGTTCTTGAGAAGATAGAGCATAAAGATTTGATTGATGATTTTGCTTCGAGAACTGCTAGGAGGACAACCCTATTCATGTGAAATTTCATTAGCGATGTAATATTACTTTAAGATTGTCCAACTTGTATACTTTAAACATTTTTTTTGAACGATGCACTTTAAACATTATAAAACTTATATTTTATTGAACTATCTAGTGTTTTTGTATTTCATTGTTAGACGATGCCTCAATATGTCATTTCGAATCGGGACCTTCAAATTCATTAGACAACCATGGTTAAGTGCGAAAACATTACTTTACTACGTACTATAATACGGAGTAGGTTATTAAAATTATTATTCAAGTAGGGATATTTTCTAATGTTTGGAAAGGATAGTACTCCTCCAGCTAATGCACCGTACCGCCTTCCAGCTACCACAATTTAGAAGTGATATCCGTGAAGTTTGGAAAAAATTAAAAAATTTGGCAAAAATTACAAGAGAATTTTCCCTAAAAAATTGTGATATACGTTGAGTAGAATCCTGGGATTTAACTGATCTATGAATAATATAGATGAAGCTGAGATTGAAAATGCCAAAAACCACGAGTGCTATACTAGCTGCTACCATCTACAAATTACAAATTCAAAACACCTTTCCAATCCCATTTGTACGTAAACATATTGCCATTTTGATGTCATCGGTCGAAAAGGGTTATCTGATTCTCATCCGCTAGAGCTTCATTTAAATCCCCAACCACCTCCTTCTTTCGACTTCCCCCACGTTTTGTCCTTTTTTATAATCCGTTTTACACTTGATCCTCCGGTCTTCAGGTCACCAACTGTTCCTGCATTCAATTCCAGATTTCCTTCCTATAAATAGACGACAAAGCTTTTCACATTTCTTGTATCCGCATAGTCTTCATATTAGTATCATATCTCATCAAACGAGCTACATACTAAATTAAATTGGGGCACAAAAAATGGGCAGTCTTGATGAGAGCGATGTCATGATTCCATGCACTACAAACAACGTCCCTGAATTCGATCCCTTGAATGTGGAAGAGTTCCGAAACCAAGCTCATCGCATGGTTGACTTTATCGCTGACTATTACAAAAATGTCGAGACCTACCCTGTTCTCAGCCAGGTTGAGCCCGGCTACCTCCGAAACCGTCAGCCGGCGGCGGCTCCCTATCTGCCGGAGCAGTTCGAAACCATTTTGAGGGACATTCAAGAAGACATAGTTCCCGGGATGACCCACTGGTTGAGTCCGAACTTCTTTGCGTTCTTCCCGGCGACCGTCAGCTCCGCGGCTTTCGTCGGGGAAATGCTCGCCACCTGCTTCAACTCCGTCGGCTTCAACTGGCTCGCGTCGCCGGCGGCGACCGAGTTGGAGATGGTGGTCATGGACTGGATGGCGAAGATGCTCAAGCTCCCGAGCGCCTTCATGTTCTGTGGCACCGGCGGCGGCGTCATTCAGGGGACCACCAGCGAGGCGATCCTCTGCACGCTCATCGCCGCCCGAGATCGGGCGCTGCGGAAAGACGGCGTTCATATCGTCGGAAAGCTCGTCGTGTACGGCTCCGATCAAACTCACACTGCGTATACGAAGGCATGCAAGCTTGCCGGCATTTTCCCATACAACATTCGGATCATACCGACTTCACGCGCCGACAACTTCGCCTTATCTCCGGCGGCTCTACGTAAGGCGATCGAGTCCGACGTGGCAGCCGGCTTGGTCCCGCTTTATCTGTGTGCAACTGTGGGGACCACTTCGACGACGGCGGTCGACCCGGTCAGCGAGCTTGCCGATGTGGCACGTGATTATAACATTTGGGTGCACGTGGACGCCGCGTACGGCGGGAGCGCATGCATATGTCCCGAGTTCCGCCACCACCTGGACGGCGTCGAGCGGGCGGACTCACTGAGTCTGAGCCCGCACAAGTGGCTGCTCACTTACTTGGACTGCTGCTGCATGTGGGTCAAAGACCCGGGTTTGCTAGTCAAGGCTTTGAGTACCAACCCGGAGTACTTGAGAAACAAACAGAGCGAGCTGGGCTCCGTCGTGGACTACAAGGACTGGCAGCTGGGTACGGGTCGGCGGTTCAAGTCGCTCCGGTTATGGCTCGTTTTGCGCAGCTACGGCGTAGCCAACCTCCAGAGCCACATCCGCTCGGACGTCCGGATGGCTAAGATGTTCGAGGGTTTTGTAAGATCCGACCCGAGGTTCGAGATGGTTGTACCGCGGACCTTTTCTTTGGTGTGTTTCCGGTTCAACCCGTATGAGGAGTCCGACCCGCGATATACGAATATGTTGAACATGAAGCTACTGGAGTCCATCAACTCAAGCGGGCGGGCGTACGTCACTCATACGATAGTCGGAGGGGTTTATACGGTGAGGTTTGCGGTGGGGGCCACGCTAACACAAGACCGCCACGTGGTTGCTGCGTGGAAGTTGATTCAGAACTCCGCGGAAGCCTTACTCGCCAAGTCATAAGATGGGGGGAGAATTCCACACATTTCTACCGCTATATCTCAAAAGGGTTGACCTTGTATTGTTTTGTCGATTCTAGAAAAGAATTGTTGTTATATCCTTTAAATAATTTCGAGATATCTGATCTCGCATTGTTACCAATTCTAACTCTGCAATTAAATATACCCAGTATAAATAAACCGCACAATTCACTAAAATAAAGTATTCAAATCCTTGTTTAATTTGTGGTGGTCTGCTATAACTTTCTTATGAAAAATTATCTCCTCAAAAAATTTATGGATTAATTTCCCTCTTTTTCCGAACAATAGTTTCATATCAAGTTTAACCTCCAATTCTCTATTGCATAAATTGTCTGTATAAATGCATAATACTAATGTCATCATTCCTCATACGGTTCAACCGTATAAAGAGTCCGACCCGCGATATACTCAATTGGGTGGCCGGGCGGGTGTACTCATACGATAGTTGGAGGGTTTATACTCTACTAGTATAGCCCGGTACGATGCAGGGTGTGTGAATGTTGCTTGAAAATAAATATGTTGCTTTTTTAATTGTAAGAGTGAATGTATATATGAAAATGGGATATGCTACGACTATGATAAGTAAAATTTAATAATGAGACCGCTGTAAAAGTATAAGAACTATTTAATGTGTGTAAAATTGTGATATGCACTTTTTTGTTGTTGACAAATTATATTAGAGTTAATTGTAAAATCACAATTCATGCAATAGAATGAAGATTACGTGCTATGAAAATGTCTATGATCGAAGAGAACTTTCAGGTCTCATCTCACATTATGTCATAATCAGACAAAGTATTATGAGAACGAAACAATTTGAACCCCTTGACACAACAACCTATAATAATTCAAAGTCTGACATTGAATGTGACTTTTATTAATGGTCATTGCATTAAAAGTCATTAATAGATATTGCTTATTTTGGAATCATAAATGAAGTATGGCATTAAATGGTGTTAAGAAGAGGCTTGATATGAAAATATATTCTTGAATGTATACCACTTAGGATTTCACCTTCTAAGATGTGATAAAGATTTAATCTCATCCATCCAAGACAACATCCGACCAAGGATCTGGAGTAACACGTCTGAACTAAATAAATCCAAGTTGTTGCCCTAATGTCCAGATTGCTCTTTTGAGAGAGTGGCGTGTCGATTTCTTCTTCGTTTGAGAGTGGAGCGTTTAAATTCTTCCAACGGTCTGGAGTGACGATTCCGTGATAGTATTTTGATTTGAGATTCGACGATGGTCAGCCTAAGTCTCGGAGGAGGGAGGATCCTTGGAGATCCTTGCAATAGGCCGTTTTTGCTGGTTCTCAATTTTGGTAGATTTTGGCAGATTCTCAATTTTGACAGATTTTCATCAATTTTGGCAGATTCTGTGGATTCAGTCAATTCCGTTATTACCAAATGGCCCTCCTAACAACATCCTAAAATTATAATGCATTACTGAAAGTCTTGGAATTAACACTTTTTATCTTACACTCACGTTAGTCCAAGATTATACCCGTTAAGATGTTTGTTGCATCTACCGATTAATACTTTCCTCAATGTCTTTATCATATACTCCGTCCCATTTTGAGCTTGTCACTTTCTTTTTTTGGACATCCCACATAAAGGTTTCCATTTAAATTTTTAGAAAACAATTAATACTCTTAAATGATAATTTAATCATAAAATATTAAAGATAATATATTTATAATACCACAGTTACATTGACCCCATTATATTATATACACATCAAAACTATTTTTCAAAAATACCCGAAGTACCTTATTTAAAACTCCGTAATTGTATAAATAATGATTCGATTTTGTCATGAAAACCTTTAAATGGGACGAATGTAGTACGATAGAAGAAATAATCTGTTAATTGTCTTAATATTATTAATTGAATAGTTTAAAATGATAATTTTTTATATATAAGATTAGTATTTAATTTTTATTAAAATACAAAGTAATTGGTAACTCCATTATAAATAATGTGTGTTACGGAGAGCGTGAGTGTTATCTTCTCTGATACCTCACAACCCGTAACCTGCTTTGAATTATTCTCTTCTTTTTTTTAATCCCGAAAGCCGTCATGATTGACGGGGTAAGTGTCGGGGAACACTTACCTTATTTATTAAAATAAGATTGAGGATTTACAAAAGAAGGAAAAATTAAAAAAAGGGGGGGGATTGGCCGGCCCACTTAGCCCATGAATGGGCCTACGTGGGAAATATCTGAGGTGACTGTCCAAAGGGGGTGGGGCGCCCTAAATCTCGAATGTTCTTTTGATGTTATTTGTGAGAGAGGCGTAGGGTTGGAGAGAGATGGATGTAGCACCACGGAGTTGAGGAGAGGTGGGTGCAGCGGCGCAGAGGTCGGTTCTGTGGTTGATTCCGACGAAGTTGGGGCTTAGCCTGTGTCCCGGAAGCTTCTGGCCGCGTCAAAATCTTCGAGGTAACTCTATTTTATTTTGGTTGGGAGATTTTGTAGTTCGATTGTGCTTGTTGACTGAGAGCAGTGAGCTTCTTGGGCGAGCAGGTTTGCTGTTGCGAAGCCTGGTCCATTGTACATTGTTATGGGCGTCGCGTTTTTGGAGCACTGGTCTTGCAGTTTGCGGAAGTCAAGGATGGCTCTTAGAGGTGAAAGCTCTTGTTCTTGTATGGTTTTTGGGAGTGAGTTTAAGGATGTTATGATTTCGTATCTGTTGTATCCGTTGTTGTTGAAGTGTGCTGTTGCGAATGTGATTGCCTGTATCTGTGCTTGAGCAGCAGATTTTGCCAGCGTTGGGGAGCAATAGGCCTCGATGAGCTCGCCGGTGGTGGTAGTCAGAATTGCTCCGCAGGAGGCTCTTTTTTGTTGGAATTCAGCCTGGATGTGCAGGTGTAGTTGCTGCCCTTTTCATATTTTTGTTTTCTGTGTGTGTATGCTTGTGTCATGAGTTTCTGTCATCAGTCCTAGTTGTTGTAGATGTACCCTGGATTTCGCAAATGATTTCTTTGGTTGTGAGTAGCACCATTCTTGTATTGATTTCTTGACTGCTAGTATTGCTTGTCCAATGGAGTGTGGTTTATTCTCTTATATCTCCTTCTCCGGCCGACAACCCAACACCTAATTTTCTCTGGGTTCTTTGACTGAGAATATCTCGTGTTCTTTTTTATCTATCTACTTCTCCGACTGACAATCCCACCTCTCCTATCAGGGATGCCTCAGCCAATTAATAATCGGATTCCCTCCTGTTTTTTCCAAGTTCGTCAATCTACCGAATATGTGCATCGTCATAGTTAATCATGGATATTGCTCCTTATACGTTTTTGTTCATGCGTGATGAGTTCGAACACTAATAATTAATGAATAAGGTGAACTATTTTTTGGTAAAGCTTACTGATATACATATTGTATGTTAAGTTTGATATTTGTTTTTAATAAACTAAAATATACGCTTATCAGTTTGTTATAATAGGACTAACTGGACTAATTTAGAGCGTTTTCGAGTATCAGATTCACTAATCTACCACTAAAAAATATTTTTTCATAGGGAAAAATCGTTGATAAAACTGCTAATAGTATCAAAAAAGTTTGCATTTGTTGGTGTTTTTCTTTCTTGCGTTTTTATTAAATATATACACCATGATTCCAAAATTGATAAATACATGCTTGACTTCCGAACAGGTACAATTAACAATGGTTTTTACTATAGGAACTGCTTTGATGAAAATTTGGCAGAAGATAATATTAGCAAGTTCATATTTTTTTAAACTCAATTTGAATTGTCCTCGTAAATACACTTGGACTATGCCCATTCCAACCGTCTATTAAATCAGTTTAAATGAATTCAATTTTAGAATCATCTTAAAATGAATGGCCAAAGAGTACCCTAGGTTTGCATATCATTCCATTTTAGAACCTGGCCTCAAATTAAAAACAAACATATCATTCCATTTTAGAACCTGACCTCAAATTAAAAATAAACAGACCCGAAGAAGAAATCAAGGTGATGGGCCACAATGGGTCAATTTGAAAGTGCTTGTAGAGTCAGCCCAAAAAAAGCTGTCCAGGAACATAATAGCACCAACACAATCGTACCCTAGGTTCGCATATCATTCTTTTGTTTCAAAGGCGTCCATTTATGAGTGTAGTGTAGAGCGGCGGAGAAGGTTCTAGGTTGTAGGTCGATCCACCTTCTAACCTATGTCACGGAAGGGTGTTCGTTCTTGCGTGGGGATGATGTTGTTGCTCCGATCTGGGTGTCATGCAATGGTTGTTTTATCCTGGGAGAGAGATTTTGGAGAAGGGCCTGTTCGTTAGAGATTTTGGAGAAAATTTTTCCGTTACAAAGGTTGTACTCCCTCTGTCCCAAATTGTTTTGCAAAGTCAAGATTTTTTGGTCAACTAATAATAAAAGTCAATGCTCCATATTGATAATTAATTCACTTTTTAATAATTAAAATTTACATATTCAGAAACTAATTTAAAATCTCTTCAAAGTTGCAAACTCGAAATTATAATATAATTAAAAATTGACATTCTAATTAAACCAACAAAATGAAAATGTTTTGAAAAAAAATCAAATTTGCAAATCAATTTGAGAGGGAGAAAGTAGTATATATGGTGATGTATGCGCTCGGGCCACCATAACCCAAGATTGACACGTAGTTGCCGCGTGGAAGTTGATAAAGAACTTCGCTGAAGCCGTGGTTAGTACTCACCAAATCAAAAGAGGCGACAACTCCGGTACCCATTTAAAAAATGGGGTACCGTACCTGCCACTCACTTGATTGGTTCAAATCATTACATCATTTTTTATTTAGATTTAAATAATTCAACTACATCATTCTGATTGGTCCATGTGGACAAAGCAAGGTACGGTACCTTTAGGGTACCATAGAATCTACCATTTTGATGAGGTGAATTCCACAAAATTCTATCTATCTTAGAAAAGTTGATCGTATTGTTTTGTCGAGTCCAAAATAAGAATTGTCCTAAGTCCATTTTTCCATTTTTGGTCCCCCAACTATTATGTCAATGACACTTTTGGTACTCGACTTCTAATTTTTCCATTTTTAGTCCTCGACTATTGTGCTAGAGACACTTTTAGTCTCTGATTTCAAGATTTCCCACATTTAGTCCCTGAGTATTGTCAAATCGACACTTTTAGTCCTCTCATTATGATTTTGACACAATAAGTGGAGGACTAAAATGTCACTATTATAATAGTTGAAGGACCAAAAGTGTCACTTTTATGAAAGTTGAAGGACTAAATATGGAAATTTTCAAAGAGGGGTACCAAAA